AGGATGTCCCGCTTGCTCGCGGTTCATCGCTACAGTCCTGTGAACTCGAGGAGACGGAGGTGGGATGGACGAGGGCTGTTTCGTGAAGGTGGGGAAAACCCCGCAGGGAGCACGAGCAGGAACATCTTTCTCTACCGTGTGCCATGTTTGTGCTGGCGCAGCTTTGTGGGTTTGGTTGGTTTGAGTTTGAATCTTTATCCTTTTCAGTGCCCAGTGAGCCAGCATTTGACGGTTTAGTCTTTTTTTTATATATAATTTTTTTTAATTTTAATTTTAATTTTTTTTTTTTTTGTGGTACGCGGGCCTCTCACTGTTGTGGCCTCTCCCGTTGCGGAGCACAGGCTCCGGACGCGCAGGCTCAGCGGCCATGGCTCACGGGCCCAGCCGCTCTGCGGCACGTGGGATCTTCCCGGACCGGGGCACGAACCCGTGTCCCCTGCATCGGCAGGCGGACTCTCAACCACTGCGCCACCAGGGAAGCCCTGACGCTTTAGTCTTTTAAAGTGACACCTCAGTGGAGTTTTTCCCCAGGTCACATTCTGAGAACTGAGTAATGAGTAAGAACCCATCACTTAAGACAGGACTCAGAAATGCTTCCTGCAGAGACAGGCTTCCTTCTTCCTGTTGACTCTTTGAAGCAACATTAGTATCTGCTATTTCTTTAAAAAAATTTTTTTAAATCTTTATTGGAGTATAATTGCTTCACAATACTGTGTTAGTTGATGTTGCACAACAAAGCGAATCAGCCATGTGCATACACATGTCCCCATATCCCCTCCCTCTTGAGCCTCCCTCCCACCCTCCCTATCCCACCCCTCTGGGTGGTCACAGAGCACCGAGCTGATCTCCCTGTGCTCTGCGGCTGCTTCCCACCAGCCAGCTATTTGACATTTGGTAGTGTATATATGTCAACGCTACTCTCACATTAGCCCAGCTTCGCCCTCCCACCCCAAGTCCTCAAGTCCATTTTCTATGTCTACCTCTTTATTCCTGCGCTGCAGCTGGGTTTGTCAGTACCATTTTTTTTTTTTTTTTAGATTCCATATATATGCTTTAGCATATGGTGTTCGTTTTTCTCTTTCTGACTTACTTCACTCTGCTCACCATTGCTAATTATTAGAGAAATGCAGATCAGAACTACAATGAGGTATCACCTCATGCCAGTCAGAATGGCCATCATCAAAAAAAATCTAGAAACAGTAAATGCTGGAGAGGGTGTGATGAAAAGGGAACCCTCCTGCACTATTGGTGGGAATGTAAATTGATACAGCCACTATGGAGAACAGTATGGAGGTTCCTTAAAAAACTACAAATAGAACTACCATGTGACCCAGCAATCCCACTACTGGGCATATACCCTGAGAAAAGCTATTTCTTAAGTGGACCAGTAATGTCTGTTAATGGAATGTGTTTATCAAAGCAGGACTCCTCAGAGCAAAAGAAAAATTAAAGGATGAATTGCTTCATGAAACCCTTTCTGTGCCACGCCTCTCCCACTCTTGTCATCCAGGATATTTCGGGCTCTGAAGGAGGGCTCTGCTTGCCTTGTGATGACTTCCTTTTGTGCCCTAGGACAGATTCAGATTTCCTATCTCAGGCCTTGCTTGAGCCGTCCTCTCCTCGGGTGGGAAATTGAACCTCGTTCATTAGGTGTAAGTAACCTCTGAACCTCTCCTCCAAGGACCACGTTATTTTATGAGATTTGTATTTTATTTCTCTTTTGCTTCCTTTTAATTTTTTGGGGAATAGTTGTTGTTTTTTTTTTTTTTTTTTTTTTTTTTTTT